TATAGTGCATGGATGGGTGGAGGTGGGACTGAAAATAAAAGAAAAGATATTAATAGGAAATTTTAAATGTGTAATAGGAGATAGTATAAAGAAGTCTCGGACCTTGATTTTGACACACATTTGAGGTCTCATTAATATCAAGAAGAAGATGGGGGAACAAGGAGTGCAGAATGCCTATAGCTTCAGATATCAAGAAATCATATATTCAGCGCGAATTGAGTATTGAAATTTAATTCTCGTTCTTGAAATTTATGAAATTATGGGAAACAAACCTTTTCTGAGAAAAAATATCTTTTTGAAAAAAATATTCTTTTATAAAAATTTAAGATGGAATTGGTAAGATTCAAATTTTTAAACTCTAGCAATTAATAGACGAAGTATTTCTCGGAAAGATGCGAATGTTTTGTCACAAAAGTGTAATTTTTAAGATATAGTGGGTCTTTGCTCCATGTTTTTAAAACCAGAAAATGTATACTTATTTTGTTGCAAACTTTTACATGTAGAATTATCTTTCAAAAAATGGAGCGAAAACCCACTCATATATATTTAAAATAAATTGTTAGATCAATTGTTAAATTATGATATATGAGAAACTGATCTATTTTGTTCTTTTTAGTGTGACTGTTTGCTTTTTCATAGGCAAATAATTTCGGTTCTTGTGAGATTTTTGTAAATTGTAGAGATTTTACATTATAAGTTTACAATAATATTAAAAGGAATATCAAATAAATATTGGATATAATTGAGATTTAATTTTTCACATAATGTCTGTCGCACTATAGGCACTTTGTCCGCCTTATTCCCCTATCTTCTTCATTATAATGTTCCAAAATTTCTACAACTTTTCGCGAAAAAGGTTTTTGGGATTTAACGAAGGAAACTGCATGTATGACAATTTAAGGATACACCATCTCAAAGGTTGTGTACTATCACCGAGTACATAGCAGGGGAAATGGTTGAGATGTATAAACTATGATCGGGGAGAATAAATTATATCATATGAATATTACGTTTACGGATTTTATTTTTTTTTTTCAATCATAAAGCATAAGTTGGGACTTTTCGGCAATTCACTCGGAACCGAAAGATGTCTCAAGTGCAAGTATAATATTATATAGAAATCAATGAACATTGTGCATTTATTTGCTTACTTTCTTTTGGAAATTAATGCAGATGCTCACACATTTAAATATATTTCATAACCTGCAGGTAAGGCTCATATCGGGCCTAAACTAAACAAGTTTCCTCGCAAAACATTAGAGTACCTTACCAAGCATTTGGACAACATACCACAGAGTCATATTTCTTATATAACCCTTATGGGTAACATTCTCAATGGCCTGATCACACTTTTTGTTGGTGTAATTTTATTTTAAAATATTTTGAAAACAATGTAGAAATCTGAATTTTTTTTTTAGAGAATGACAAATATGAATATTTTTTATATGATACCAAGAAATACAAACGATATATTTGAGGAACCTTAATATATACCGCCGGAAAAAAAATCTAAGTACGAGGGTTGTCCGGTAAAATCGTATATTTTTCAAATATCACCCTCGTAGCTATCATTTCAATGCATAATTTATCAATCGAAACACAATATAAATAAAATGTTTTACTTTTCGATGTCATAAGAACTTCATTTATCAACAGAATGTTAATATTCCATGACTCATGACTAGTGTTCCCGACTCTTATTGTGGTCTCACTCCCGCTAGCTATATACTCCAGGGGGTCGTAACATAAAGGCTACTTAAGTCTAAGACCGTGCTTAAGTAGGACTTAAGTACAGTCTAAAACGTAAGACCGTAACTAGAAGCGTGCTAAGATTTGGTAATCTTAGCAGAACTTAGGCGGCCGGTAGAGGTGACTTAAGTATATCTTAACTTTCATGTACATATATTTATAATTATTTAATGTTGACTTTCGATGTTAAAATATTCCTCTGTTCATATTATGCTGATAATTCCTGAATTATTGAAATTGATAATAAGAAAATAATTATCTCTATTTGACGCCGATTTAAGAATTTTACTTTTTCGTTGGGGGGGGGGGGGGGGGGGGGGGGGGTTGATCACTGATTCCAATATCACTCCCAACAGAGCATACATGTAAATACAAAATTTAATTCTAGGGATACGTCTGAAATTAGTGGGACCTCGGTTATAGAAGTAAATTGAACACAGTAATAAACCATGGATCTGTATGTTCGTTTTGAAAAAATGAGTTGAAATGATTTGTTAAAAACAGAAAAGAAAGAGGATGATGACTGTGACAGTATATCATAAAACTTCTGCAGTTTTTGCTTCTGACATGCATGGCCTGATACATAGCGGGGATTCAACATGTATTGAACTCTTTAGAGTTTCAAATTTAAGTAGATAGACGGTCGATTATATTTTCTTGTCTGCGATAATAACAGGGTAAGTGAACATTTGTCAAAACAAAAGAGTTGCAAAAGGAAAACTGAAAACATCTCAGGTGATAAAATAATTGCCGTAAATTTACAATGAACCACAACTCGCCACTTTCTGACCGTGCGGCATTTGCTTCCAAACATTCCGATTAATTCATAACATAATTATAAATTTTAATACGAAATCTAATCTAACATAACTTAAACCAATAGGCAAGGACGTCAACTTCAATATGTAATGAATTAAAACCCTAACCGAATCACTTTTAGCAATATATCTATATAAAATCAAAAAACATAGGTTGGCTCATATGAAATATTTTAAACATAAGTTTGACTTAGCTAAGACCTAGCTTAGTTTGCTTTATGTTACGGTTTAAGACATACTTAAGTAGTACTTAGACAGGTCCTAAGATTGTGCCTAAAACGTACTTACGACCCTACTTAAGTCAAAAACTTAGCAAGCTTTATGTTACGAGCCCCAGGAGTCATTGTTTGAACAAACTTGAATCTACACTATGTAAAGGTTTCACATAGGTTTCAACTTTTATGGCCCAGTGTTTTTTTTTTGAAACATCATAAATTTTCACTATTTCTGAATTATCTGGCCTTGAATGAAAGCATGGCCCTTCATTTGAAGTTACTTGAATACCCTTCACCCAAGAATGCTTTGTTGCAAGTTTGGTAAAAAAAAAATATTTTTATTGTCATGCTATTGCATGATGAATCCTAGAAAGGACATTCCTATGGACATATAGTTTAAAGTCTACTTATCTTAACAGTTATAATAACACAGGTAACAACTCTGTCAGTTAGAGTTATTTAAAATGATTTTTTAAAAAGTTTTTTTTAAATTTTTTCCAAGGTCAAAACTATTGAAATTGTAATACAATACTGTTTATTATGTGAAATTTTGCCTGTGTTATCGTAACTGTTACATGTAGGACAGGCATACTTTAGTACAATTCTCAGTTAAGCCTGGACTTTCCGTAAGGCGTGGCATTCTCGGCACTACGTAATTAGCGTCTGTCCTGTCAAATAGATTCTCATTGATTAGGAAATTAATAACATCAGGAACTTTAAATTGCTGTTAAATTGACAACGACTTACGCCCTGCTTCTTTGCCGTACGAAACTTGTAATTGGCTATCTGCTACACTAGTTGACATTCGGCCGAATTTCCATCCCAAATATATTTCAACATAGCTGCAGATCTGTAGCTCTCCGAAAAAAATATATTGAAAGACCGGAGAGCTACAGTACCACCCATTCAAAAAACTATATTTATTGCCCACAAAAAAGTGTGCTCGGTTCTTGATTTATTTCTCCATGTTTCTAAAACTGTAATCTCGAAATATTACTAACCGTGTGTTCCTAACATATTCTTAGACTTTCCACGACAAAACATTCGTCATAATTGTTGTTAATAGTCCTCCTGACCCTGATATTGTAATCATCGAACATTTCGCTTATTTATGCTGCCATTTTGGTTTCAAAGATAATTCAGTAAAGGAAACCTGTGTAAATTTCAGAAGATAATAATTATTATGTAACTCAAGAATGACACGCCTTACTGAACACGACTTGTAAATAGGCATACACCATTTTCGATATCATTATCTACCAGGGTATACTCATCAGAATCGTCACACCCGACTGCTTTATTGTCACGGGTATCGGCGTGGAATGGCGACCCCTGTTAGTGCTGGTTATCTTGCAATACCTTTGTTTACATTGTATTGCAGTTACGTGTATCTGTGTTTGTTTGTATACTGCAATGACATGTATACAACTATAATTGTAAGTTTCTTTGGTACATGTATCTTACTTTCCTGCATTTGACGAAGTATTATATTATAATTGTTGATCGCTACCGAATGCTGTATAGCATACATCCGTCTACACCGGTGTCGACTGATTACACTGAACACATACAAAGTCTCGCCCTTTATATTGGGGTCTGCAGGTATAGTGATTCTCCGAACAAAAATGGCGAACACATTCCTTTTACCAATTGGGTTCAGCTTTATCTGAAGATTGTACTATTACATTTTCTGACAATTTATTTCAAAGTATAAGTTTCCATTCTGTGTAGCTGTCTGTCCAGCAGTGCTCGGCCCACAATATCAGCGGATTGACTTGGACATTTAACTACATGTATCCAAGATTTTGTACATGATTCCTACTGATTACATGCCAAATACATTCATGCTAGTTTAATACAAGTAGGCCTTTTACATACTTGGGGGATAAGCATTGACCTTGCCAATTTTGGAATGTTGGGCAATGGCTGAGAAAGCAGCATATGAAACCTGACCATTACACTGAAACATATCTGTACTTGTTCATCACCAGTGCAACTATGGTCAATGAATTAAGGGCACAGAAATACATGTATATGATACATGTAAGAAATCTGGCCCAAAACATTTACTTGAGATGCCAACTTAAATGTATATAGTATTACATGTAACATGTAGATAGGATTAGTTTAAATTAGTGAGCTAATTACCCTTTCCAAGTCGCAAGCAAATTATATTACAGTTAATGTTATTTTTAAATAAAATCATAACTAAACACAGTCAGACTTCACATACGTTTATATGTATTTTTTAATTTAAAAAAAAATATGAGAAATGAAACAGTTGTGGAATATGAAGTAAAGTTACTTTCATGATCAAGAATGATTAACATTGATGTTGCTAAAAACAGCTCTATACATATTTTTGTACAGTACACAGTCATGTCCCTTGTTTCCTGGGCATTTTGAACACATTGTTCTCCAGTCCTCTCTCACACACACACATATAAGTCACTATAAACAGTCAATCACTGCTGCCCGACATCATCACACAAGTTTCCTGCTCTATCCAATCCGATCCAGAGCTTCCAGTAAGATTATACTGTTACCTCGGACAACCTAAAAAGACAAAATGATCATCTTAACACTGTATCTATAATACTAAAAATCCTAAATTACATGGTCTGTTGCATGCAAAAAAGTTTATCGTCTTCTATTAGCTGGTTGTATAGTTTCGCTTTAATTTTTTTTTCAAAAGAAATCAATAATTTCAAGCAACAAAAATTTCAGCACATCTTAGTGCAAACTTAAATGAAAATAAAATATACAGTAAAACTTGTTTAGAGCAAACACGGATATTGCGAATTCACAGATATAGCGAAGTCATTTTGGATCCCCCGCTACATAAATTTAATGAATTACTTATACGGTTATAACGAATTATGGATATATCGAAGTACTGTATACAGGGAAATTTTCGCTCCCATTTTATTTTCGCCCTTTCACCTTATACTAATTTGAGCGAATTTAAAACATGGCAAAATGGAATAATACATATAATTTCAGTAATAAAACTATGATTGGGCTAATTTAAAACGGGGCAAAATTGTTTGCAAGTGTGAAAGGGCGAAGATTAAACTGGGCGAAAATAACCCTGTATACAGTAATTTCCAAGGGCCCAGCAACTTTGTTATAACTGAGTTTTACTGTATCTTAGGCTATCTAAATTTAATTCCCTGGTTCTCAGGCCAATTTTCTCCAAAACAGATGCGGGAGGGCGGCATTTTATTTTTCATTTTATTGGCAATAAAGTAGATGAGGGAGGTATTTTTTTTTATTTTTTATTTCCGAATTTTCTTTAGCATAAAGATAATTTTTTTAATCTCAGATATACTTTCCATTTCTGGTCAAAATTTCTGCTTTATCCATTGCTTAACAGCGTGTAAACATCGTAGGTAATGTCCTCGAATGTATTTTCAAACGAAGTAGCCAAAATCTCATTGTAAATGGCTACCGGAAGTGATATTTGAATACTACACTACAAAACAAATGAGGTCGGAATTTTTTTTCCCGGATTGGTCTCCGCAATACCAACTTTTTATTATATCAAAAATACAATAAAATCGGCAATGCGGCTACCTCAAAACGGATGCGCGCGGGCCTGAGAACCAAGATTTCAATTTTATATGGCCTTATAATGGGGAATAATAAATAACTTTAAAAATCTCAATGAGAATTGTCTTCCTTTTTAACAGAGGATCAATGAACCTAAGAATGTTTATTGCTTGTTACAACCATAAGGCAAATATGGACCAGTGACAGTAATCAATATGTATGCAATGCAGGTAACATAAAATTATAATAACAATACATTCTATATTATAATGGTTGCTAATAAATGTAATAATTAAAAAAAGGAGCTTGGGCTCCTTCAGCCTCTGGGTGTATGGAATAAAAGCCGAGGTAAATTAAATCCCCATACATCCTTGACAGGACCTGGATATCTAATAGTGTCCAGCAGTTTTTCTGTTAGACAGTGCATATTACGTACCACCATGCCTATCGTGTTCTTTTCTCCTAATTTTGTTTCTTCGATACATTCGTCCACCACCAGATTCATAAAGGGGTCATATCCTCGTAAAATCCCTGTGATTTGTCTGCCTCCATTTAATTTTACTGCAAAAAAAAAAATTAGTATGAATTCATGTTTAACAGTGATGTGATGTCATGAACTTGGTAAACCATACAAAGGAAGGACTATGCTATATTTTGCATACAGTTTCTACTCACAGTTGATTTTCTTTTCCATATACCTGAAAAAGAGAAAGGTATACTAGTAAAGATTACAAAAACCAAATGTCATATTCTACATTTACATGCTCTACTGTGTGTACTATTTAATCTTTCTAAAATACAGTGGACCTTCAGATACCCGGACGCTTCAGTATCTGGACGATTTTTCATCGGAACGAAATTTTTCGATGTTATTTTTTTTTTGTTTTATTATTAATTCAGATATCGGAATGCTTCACATATCCGGACAAAATGACTAGGAACCAAAGCGTCCGGATAAATGAGGCTCCACTCCAAGCACCAAACTCGCTTGAATTTTTGACCCCCTATTATAATATACTAGGGGGTCAAAAATTCATGCAAGTTTGGTGCCTGTGGCTCCACTGTATTTACAGGTGAACTCAACATGCTCAAAACAGAATTGTTCTTGCCACAATAAATTTTAACGGTCACAGAATTTACTTAACCATCCTCATCATTCTACAAAACTAGTATTATCTATTGATAACAAGGATTTAATGCGATATCCATGCCCCGAAAATATAGCAAGTAACCTCCACATTAAACACAACAAAACGCATTGCCAAATTTTTGTCATTTATATTATTCATGCAGGCTTGGGTATTTCTGAATTTATCAAAAATATTTGTATTCTGATGCACATGATTGATACTTCTGTCCTTAGTCAAGAATTTCATCAAACAATGACATTACAAGATGCAGTAAAGGACATAGACTATCAGCCCCCTGCACGGTGTGCACAGTGGTTAGAGCATTTGCTCCAGTCATGAAGCAAGGAGTTGATTCTCACATCCCTGGTTCGAAAACCACCGATGAACTGCAGCCTCAGCCAACAGTTTCTCAAGTCTAAAATTTCAACCCTCCACTCTATATGAGTGGAATATTCTCAAAATGGATGTTTAACAAAGAACTTCAAAGCGACATTTGAGAGATGTAAAAAGTTACAGAATTCATGAAATCAATATTTACATTTTGAATTCTAATTTTACATCATGAATTTACATTAGTCGAAAAATGAAACTGCGCTCGCCCTAACGATTCAACCGTAGGATATACATGTATAAGCAAATACAGATTTGCAAGCTATATCCCTTCTAATCTCGGGGCAGTGATATCCGTTTTCTTCGCTATTAACAGTGTATTTTGTAAATTCTCAAAATATTGCACTAACATAGGGTTGATACTTTGAATAACAACTACATTATTCATTTAAATTAAATAAATAATAAATGCAGATATCTATAAATCTAATTACTTCTTTAGCTCTGGTGGATGGGCTTTGCTCATTGTGATATTTTGCCGATTGTGGACCCTCAACAAATTCTCTGAAAAGAACCGGCAAATCGCTTTGTTTACGTCCAATCTCTGTGGATGAGAAGCTTAGCTTTTCGATAAAAATTCTTTCATCATTTACTTAGTCTCTAGGGGACACATCAGTATAAATTTCAGCCAGATTATCAATTAATTATTTTCTATGAATATCTATGGAAAAGCAGGTTACAAATACCAATGGAAAACTTTTATCATATTAATCTTTCATTAATAGAGTTTAGGAACGACTTAATGATTCTCCCATCAACGTCTTTAAAATGTTTTATACTTACGTCATTGTTTTCTGTGCACATTGTTTAGCGCCATATTTGATAATATAAGTTGGAAATTTTGAAGTAAAGTCGCCTACATTTTTGTAGGATTTTTGCCACACATAAGAATTTTATACCGTGAAACGCTTTAATGAAGTAAGCAATTATTTGTCAGTTCACATATTTTAAGGAAAGAACTCGGTTTTTGTGAAGTTTTGCTAACATCACATAATAATGTATTCATTAATCATTTGTAAACAACTTACAACTGTCAGTTTTAAGGTTTATGCACGATAGAATTATTTTTATTTTTGTGAAAGTATTAAATAGATTGGAAATGTTGAGTGTGGATTAGACACTGTGATTTGTACTACCATGAATATTTAACAGGGCAGGCCAAGCACAAACTCTTGATTTAGCTATGTAACTTCAATAAGCCAGATCAAAATCGATTTTACAATATTAAAGCTGATCAAAATATCTGAAAAAAAATTATTTCATTAAGTTTTTCATCTGTATATATTTATTAGAAATGGGCTTAAAGTTGAAAATATGTTAATACTCATAGTTGTACAATGGACTAAAGAAATTGGTGACAGGTTCATTGTCTGACGTCACGGCGTCAGACAGTACTAGATTTAACCAGGGCTTATTTATGCAGTCGTTCCATGAAACTGTTTAGATATTTCGATGGTGGAAATTTCGATACATGCATAATCTCCAAAGACTCATGTAGTTCGTCCCAGGAGGAAATGAGCTTTTATTTACATTACTGAATGATCTTGTTTTTAGTATAATCCATGCTTTCATCTTTGAACATGTCCACTTTAGTTCTCTATAAAAAAAATGCCTTATTATATAAATCTCACTGTTTTGTGTTGTGTATCAAAGATTAAGTCATTTCACATGTTATGGTTAAATAATTGATTGCTTATTTTCGGTAAAATTATACCTTGACATTGAATTACTAGTACCTAAACATCAGGCACGAGGTCAAATATTTTCTCTTCGTTGCTTGCTCTAAGTATTG